GGATGGTCTGAGTCACGCAAGCATGACTGTCATCAACGCGATGAAAGAGTCAAGGACCCAAAAGCCATGTTCGGACCAAATTGCGAGCGAGGCAAGCAGAGACTTTACAACCAGAGGCTCTGAAGACAGCCTCAGCAATCAAGAGTGTCTTGACGAGCGAGGTCGATAGTGGCAAAGGATCAAATGGCACCCTAGAGGACGAATGCAACAGGAGACATCTGGCCAGTTGTTATATCCTGCTCACGGAGCCAAATACCCAACACAAGAGCGCAACAGCCCGGATCTGGACCTAAATCAACTATGGTCAGAGAGCCAAGTTTCGGTGGGGATTCCACTTCCCATATTGGGCCCCATGTACGTTCCATAGTTCTCCGACTCCAGCTGCACGGAATTCCCAGGGGACCTCCAATAATACCTCGTCGCCACCATGGTTCATCTCATGTGCTTGCAAAAGTAGTAGTATCTCCGAAAGTTTGCTGGGATCTATAGTAGCTCGTGGCTGTTATAGGCAGATCCAGGGACCCATCGCTCCCCTTCGACTCCACCGTCGAAGATCTATGCGACAAATCGCCGACGACGACACAAAATTGCGCCGTCGCTCTCTCAGCGAAGTCAATGCTAATTCTGTATCTCGGCCAGTCTCGAGACTCCAAAGTCAAAAGATGAATTAGCTGGGATCATTCGCCAAACTTGACGATTTCCATGACAGAACGATTGGTGAAATTTCCGGCCCCTGCAGATGCACTACATTCCTTGCAGCTGCGGTAGCCAATAATGGCGAGCCTTACGTGGTCCAAGCAATCTCACTTGCACGAGCCTCCTTACTAGCGGGGTCTGATAGGTTACTGTCGTATTGACGACTCAGTACTCGGCAGAAGTCGTTTGACTCGTTTCAGCTACGAAAAGGTGATACCTAGGGGGTATCTAGATGATCTGAGATTCGTGGGGAACTTGGAGTAATCGAAAGGTAGGAGCATTGTGTGGAGCAATGAATCAAGACTTTTTGACTCAATAATCAGAAAGACTAAGAGGGAAGAGGATGTGGCCCAAGTGTAAGAGTGGCTGAACCGCTGAACTTGTCTGCCCACTTTGCCTCGGTTCCGACTTTTCCCACGAGGGCCATCGCTTCTCTGGGTTAGCGCAGACCGCATCCCCGCCTCCACACGAAAAGTAGTAGAATCAGTGTATCTCAAATAAATTATGGTTCTAACAGCACTTTTCACCAAGTCTCAAATATCTGACCAAGGTTATTTTTCCGTGGTGGAATATACCTGCCATGCTGAAACGTCTACAGTAGGCTTTATCCTTGATTCGCTACCTAATCCGGCAGTATGCCGGCATTTGAACCTTGCGCCACCAAGATGTAAGCGAACATTAAGCGAATCCCATCTTTAGGATTCTGGACTCCTGCAGTCCCTGGCATAGATATGGTACCGAACACGGATGCTTCGCACTTGTCCGTACACTCAAGAAGTGACCTAAGGTCTGAGGAGGTCCCTACTATGGCACAGCAATCATTGAGGGCAATAGTCCCCCACATTGATCTTGTAGACACTCTTGTCTGAACAATCAGTATTCGATGTTTCAGCAAGAATATAATCCCGACAGGTTCTTAAAATGTGGACTGCGGTTTTTTCCATACTCCAGGCTCGAGGCTAGTAGTCTACTACCTAGAGAGGTAATAGTCTATCTTCGGTTATTGATTGACAAACTTAGCTATTATTCGGATCATATACTTGAACGAGTGCAGTCTTCCAAGAAAACCGACAGAGCTCTTGACCATGGATGAAACAGCCGTAAAGTTGGTGCCTCAAACTTCCAGCGAGTCATGACAACTACCAAACCACTCGTTATCGTTTGGCGACCCGTGGCACTCGGACGGAAATCATTTATCCTGACTTAAATTTGGGTAGGTTTTATCCTTTTATCCGGGGAAAACAACCACATCTTGAATTCTGACTCTCAATTTTGAACCTTCAGACCTTGCTATCAGAAGTCACCTGCCTGATCAGAGCAATGAGAATCTCTCTTTTGCTTGTCACCCACCAACCCAGTATCCTTCTTTTGAGCCCACTCTTCAACTGTGTACAAATCACTCAGCCATGCACTGCAGTCGCCTTCTAGGCACTCTCCTTAAGGTCAAACGTTAACACACCTTCCGAGTATGACTGATGGGGTTTTGACTTTTGCAATATACAACTCAAACATAATTTGATCCAAATACTCAGAATCGGATAAGACCTCGACTTGCCCTAAATGGCTAATGTAGACATGCCTGATCGGATCCAGGCGTGTTAGCTCCACACATATCAATAGCGGACGATCTTTTGCAGTCTGGGCGCCGATCATCCAGACAGCAACCGTTGGATCTCCGCAGAAGATTGTGGTTATCCCAAGCTTCTTAGCTAGTTAGCATCTGATGAAGCTTTTCAGACTTTACAGATCTTGGGCCAAGGCTCAGCGGCGGGAGGATCAACGTGGCTTTTATTCCTTGATACAATATCCGACGAGGCCGACGAACCTGTTAGAAAGTGCGGGCAATGAGAGTCTCCGGTCTTGGCTACGTATGTTCAAACTGAGCAAGGGACCGTGAGGACCACTCCGAATTCCCCCAGACCTCTCATGTTGGGCTTGCTACCTGATTGTAAAGATAGTCATGACAATGGGTATAGATTGATGCAATAGAGCATAACCACCAAACTGGCGATAGTCCTGTTTGTCCTTCCCCGGAAGCAAACTAGTCCTGTTGATAGCAACGTTATTATTGCATCTACATTCAATCTAATCTAACCCATAATCTGAATATCTGATGGACTTTCAGCCTCTCATAATGCCAATGCATACGTTACCTAATAGAGACACCAAGTCCATAACTCCTTCGGGACATACGTACTACTATGCCTCAAGACTATCAATGAACCTTTCCTAAGATTAGTCGCTCAGATACTATGCCTCTCTGTATTGTTTCCCATCATCACTTTTATAGACCAGTAACGAGTATGACTTCAATCGTCGTCCGTCCAAGAAACCCAATCGCAACTTGATAGTGACTTTCAGAATCAGGACGGTTATCTGTAGTTCTCCGTCATACTGAGCCTAATATATCGGTTTCGTTACGTGTGTCATGACTGAAACCGAAACTCCTTCTTTGGCAATTCCATCACACTGGTCAAACTCTCCATGAGTATAAACACTTCTCTCAAGGAGATCAAAGTATTGCACGCGCTTGTATGTCAATTTCCATCCCCCGGGTTCTCAACCCGGGGAGTTAGATTAGGGCGAGGAAATACACCTTGACTTGCATAAATGGATGGAATGGCAGAGGAGCCGAGGCAAATGTAATAAGACCACACTGAAGCAGATAACCGCTTTACTAGGATAGTGGTCGGGCTTTTGAGTTAGAGGCACGTTCTCTCTCGGACCAGAAGCATTATGTTCGAATGCCGGGGTTTAGAGAAGCAGGCCTCTGAGCTCAAAGGCTGTGCGATGTCGTGTTTTGTGAAAAGGTGCTAATATATAGACGTACTACTCTAGTTACAGTGAAGGGTCATCAATGATTTCAGCTGCCAGTTGAGGAAAGCGTATGTGAGTTCTAAATATTCAGTAAGAGTTAGTGCATACCACAAAAGTTCAACCAGGCGTCTCATCGAGTCATCTATCAATTCCAATTGAGATTTAACAGATGATCTTAAAGAAGCGCCAAGGTGAACATGTTCTTTGTCCTTGATATCAACCAGGTAGGACTATGAGATGGACCTATGACGATTGTTGAGTGTTAATTGAGGATTGGAAAATAAAGGCCTGTACCATGCGGACAGTCGGACACCAAGTACTCTGCAGATTGTGGCTTGAGCCTTCTGCAGCCTAGGAGCAGGGATGCCCCTGTAATGTTTCATGGACCAGTACGAGACACTGGCAAATCACATTTGTTCCCTTCTCCTGCATGCTTTTTCTGGTGTTTCCACTAGGTTGGGGAAATTGGATTGAGTTGAGTGCGAAGAGCCAAAGTGGTTTCTTTAAGCATACTATTCTCACTTCGTAACCAAGTCATATCAAGAGTGAGTAGGCTGCTTCCAGGTTCCATGGTCCATAGCTGCTAAAGTGTGCTAAGGTTGTGGGGTTCTAAGACACCGGATGGAGAATCATTATTCAGTCTAAGGCAGATATTGACTGGAGTCACTGCACAAAGCAAGTGCCTGCTACTCTGATTCAGTTTGAGGACTTCACCCCGAGAACCCCGCAATGTACATACTTACAGTAGCTGATTCGGATCATTTGAGGGCACGCTCATGCGCAGGGCGTGAGGGGAAGACAAAGTGGGCCCGGAGAGGCCGAAATTCTTGGGATTATTAGCCAACAGGATGCATTGGCAGTCAGCGTGCAGAATAATGTCTTGAATTTATCCCGATGTTGCAATAGGCATCGCCAATAATAATATAATCAAGTTCAATCGATGGCAATTCTGCTCTATCATTCGGCTTGTCGTCGGACAGATCGGCAATTCTTAAAGGCACACTGCATCTAGTATCTACCTCAACTCAATCGAGACAATGCGACGGATTATCAGAAGTCCAATGTAACATTCAAGTGACATACATGGACATGAGCATCTTCATTAGGGATATTTGACGTGCAAAAACCCGCGAGCGCCTGCTTCCTGGCTGGTCCAGATGTTGCTGCTCTAAGGAGGGTGAGCGAGTCAGGTGATCCGCTCAGCCTTTAACCCCCTAGGTATACTTACCCTATACTCATCCCGGTCCATGGGCATTTCTTCGGACAATTGTCCCTCAGCCGTTTGGCAATTGCCTTGGAAAGGTCAGTTGTAAAATGCGATGTTACGTTTCTACTGGAGAAACTGAGTCTACTTCTTGATCTTTTTCATCGGCAACCATTAATATCACGTTCTCCCGTTACCTTATGGGGAGTAACTCTGTAATGCACTCTATAAGGCCGTCCATTCCTCGTTTGTCCGCCTTGCTTCGCGCAAGAAACCGTTTCCTATGCCTTCTCCCGGGCCACCTCTACCGCCCGGCATACTCGTGGATGAAGAGATCTCGCCAGTATACGATTCCAAGTACTTCTACCCTGCGAGGCCTGGAGAGGTACTCGCCGATCGTTACCAAACCCTGGTCAAGGTTGGCTGGGGTGTGTCTTCAACAGTATGGCTCGCGCATGATCTGCATGGGTAGCCTTTGTTAAATTCGAAGCTCCCTCTGTCTCTAACAAACAGACAGGCATATCGAAGAGCCAGAGAGCGTTGTGGCATTGAAAATCGCCAATAACAATGCGAGTTCCGCTTGTCATGAGCGAGAGATTGAAGAGCACATTTCCACGGCAGATCCATCACATCGTGGTCGCTCAATTATCCGCACATTACTAGACTCTTTTGAAGTTAACGGCCCAGAAGGTTCTTATTCGTGTCTTGTGTATCCGCCTATGAGGGAGCCATTGTCGATGTATCAGCGGCGCTTTGACGATAGAAAGATGCCACTGCCCCTCATTAAAACATACATTCGTGCACTCCTCACGGGGCTTGATTATCTTCACAAAGAATGCAGGATAGTTCATACTGGTGAGTGTATCGTCGGCCTTGCTTCCCCGTCGGTGATGCTGAGCCCAGGCGGCTGCCTAAGGTAGATCTGAAACTTGAAAACATCATGGTCTCATTCGAGAATCCGACCGTGCTTGTTGATTTCATGGATTCTCAGCTTGAAAACCCGACGGCTTTTAAGATTGATTCGACGGGACGACCAATGTATCAGTCCCGTAATCGCTTCGGGCCCACTCAAAAGCCTGAGAAGTATACCACAGCTTGTCGACTTTGGCTTGGCAACCAGACTCGAGGAAGACGACGACTGGAGTGTCTGGCCTATTCAGCCGGACCACTATCGGGCGCCAGAGGTGATACTGGGTAATAGATGGCAAATGCCTGCGGATATTTGGAACCTTGGTGTTCTGGCGCGTCCCGTTGTTCTCCAAAGTTGTTGCATCCACTAATGCCAGACCAGTTGTGGGATATGATCGGAGGCAAAGAGCTATTTCGGCATATCCATGATCAACAAGGTCGCTACGATGCTAAACTACATATTGCCGAAATAATAGCCTTACTCGGTCCACCCCACCCGGAGGTGATACAAAGATATCAATACATGCGAGAGTACTCGTGGTCTGAACCTGTTAGACGAGAAGACGACAGAGTATGCCAGACCGCGGAGGAGTACTTTTGTGGGCCATTCTTTGACAATAGTGGTATTACTGGGTTTTCCTATCTCGAGTGAATTATACCGAGACTCACGAAACATCTTAGGTCGCTTTCTCTACGAAGACCTGATACCCGACCGAAAATTAGGCGACACAGCTTCCTTCCTTGAGGGAGAGGAGAGGGAAGCGTTTCTGGATCTCGCCAAGGGAATGCTTGTCTGGCACCCAGATGCGAGCAAAACGGCAGGCGAACTGGCGGAGCATCCCTTTCTTCAACCAAGCAAACAAGCGCCTGATTTCTGCGAGCGTTTGCTAGCGCCATAGCTCGAAATCGTGGTTAATCCCAGTTCGGCGGTGCCATCAGATGACCGGCTGAAGTGTTAACATATTTGTCTTCTGAATGATATCTAATAAAGTCAATTGATCTGTCTTGGATCAGAAAGTAGTAACATTGTACCCTAAAATAGGATCCAAGCCATCAATCGCAATTTCATCGGGGTCATGGTTCTAAAAATTGCTGTCAAGGTGGATGGTATGTGTAATTGGCGCATGTATATAATATATTCACCACGGAAGAAGCGATCGAAGGTTCCCAATTACACCGCGCCTCCCCTTCTTGCAGAAATAGGCACACATTACACTCCTAATTAGGAAGGAACGACTATCTTCCAGTCCCTTTTTGGCAGCAAGGAGCCAGCGTCGCTCCTGCCTTGTCGCGGCGCCGTCGCAGCACGTCCGCAGCCAGCGGATAGATCTGATAAGCACGTTCCCAGTGAGCCGGCACTCAATAAAGTAAGCAAAGGCAACAGCTTCCCACCAGCAAGTCCCAGGTTATGTTCTTCGGGAAGCATTTCCTGTGGGAGGACAAACTCAAGTGAGACGATGTATACTCGCTCGTCGCAGGCTGGCGATAGCACAATTGAGTAGATTCGAATCAGATACGCGCGTGGATTTGACAAATCCACAAGCAAAACGCGCTCAGTGCGCGAAAGCTAGGTCATTTCTGTCTATATAACAAGTGGTACAAATGCTACACAGATTCGAGCACCTTCTAATATATTGCAAAAAAGTCCTTTACTGCTACCTACTTAATACTTTAACCAGGACGTTGTCCAGGGCCAGTTACAGGTCTAACTGTGGGATACAAACAAGTCGACAGTCCTATCCAGATCTTAGATGATATACTTAGAAATATTCACAGAGAGTTAAGTTACTTAAGTAACTTGAAGAATTAAATGAAGGCGTCTCTAGCGGACGCCCCTTTTCGGAGCAAAAGATATTTATGGCTCACATCCAAGCCACTTGGCAGCCAGTTGTCCGGCTTGTTTCAGAATGGACACTTTCGCCGGAGGAGCCGTTGACTGGTGCATGTGAAGAAGGCCTGGACTCCGGCGTGGCTGGACCCGAGACTGCCCGCAGGCATCCTGACCAATGAACCACGGTGCTGCCTGAGAGCCACGGCAGTTCCCGCGCTGACGTTTTTTCGTTGCGTGGCACTCTTTGAAACAGGGGAGAGTCTGGACTCTGCACTCAGTCATACTCATACAATGATAAAAAGTAAGGTAGTGTGTGCTGTTGTACCTGATATGGAGGGTGGAGATACACAGTGATAGCATTAACGTTGAGATTATTATTAGTCGAGGTCATTGAGATCTTCGCCGTAGAAATCTCCACGGCGTTAGACCAGCCTGAAGGACAATCGAACAAATCAAGATGTCCATCGCAGTCAAAGGCCATCGCTTGGCCCCCAACCCAGACCCAAGTCGGAGCTGAGATGTTCCAATGCGGAGGGCGATCGATATGATTAATATTAGTAGTAGACTAGTATCTAGTAGTACTGGCTAGTCTGCTCCGTAAGGTAACCTCGTAGGATCCTTCCTCACGATTATTTAGACTAGCGTGTCCCATTCTTCTTCCTTTCCACTTTACCCTTCGGTATTTAATATTGTTTCCTTCTTTTGAGTTTCCTTTCTTTTAGATTCGACCTACGACATTCATTTATCATCCCGACTTGTCTGGTTACAAGTTCAATTCCCCTTCCTCTCGTTCGAACTAATTTTTTAACCTTCGACGTTCGTTCTCCTTACATCTCACATCGGTCTTTCAGTCTAGCATCATGGAGGGTCATTCGGCTCCACCTGCTGCAGAGGCTGCAGGTGCAGGCACAACGACCGATGCTGCTCCTCCAGTCCAGGCAAATGTTCATGCCCATACTGACCATCATAACCAACCTGTCAATCATGAGGAAAAGGAACCTGGCGTTGGACGCCTCACGCCTCGACCAACCTTTCTGGCAAACCTTGCCGACTCCCGCGAAAGTCAATTCAGTTTTCACCGTCGCAAAAACGATGACTTTGACAGCTACTTTGTATGTGTTGTCTGATTTTCTCCTGCTGTTTGGATCCGGTACTAATTTGCTGGGTGGATAGCACGGTCCCCGAGACCTCGATAAGCACTCGAAATGGCCGGTCTTTCTTCGAATGCATGGCAGTGTCTTGCCCAAACTGATTCTTCCTCTGCTATCTGTCGCGGCGTGGTCGACTTTGATCACATGCATCTCATATTTCAAACATCCCCGTAAGTGGCTCGGCTGCAATATGTGGTGTATCGTTGGCTGATCGTACCATAAGTTGGCATTAACAATATCCTCCTTACGGTTCTCGGTTTTGTCGTCGGTTTGGCTCTTTCATTCCGAAGTTCTACTGCTTATGAGAGGTATGCAGTCAACTCTGCAGCTTACCATTGTTATTGCTAAGTGTGTCTCAGGTGGGCAGATGGACGAAAGTATTGGGCGCTCTTGCTTCAGACTTCTCGCAACCTTGCTCGCACAATTTGGGTCAACACGGCGGAAAGAGAAGGTGAATTTGCAAAGGATGACCTGCTGGGTAAACTGTAAGCCTGACTCAGAATAACATCGCGAACTGGCCTAACCCATGTAGAACGGCCATGAACCTCATCCTCGCCTTTGCCATCGCTCTAAAGCACAAACTGCGGTTCGAGCCGGATATCGGCTACGAAGACCTGGCGGGCCTGGTCGGACACCTGGATACCTTTGCCAAGGAAGCCCACGATCGTACAAACCTTCAGCCGCGCAAGAAGAGTTCCTTCAAGGCGTTTGGTGAATATCTCGGCGTCTCCTTCGCCGAGTCGAATCCCAGGAAGCTCATCAAGCGCTCAAAGAAGCCTCTGGGCCATCTGCCCCTGGAGATTCTCAATCACTTGTCTGCATATATTGACCGTTGCATTGCGAATGGCACTCTGTCCGTCAGTCTTCACCAGAGTCAAGCCAGTAAGTCCTCGTCCTTTCAAGTGTTGTTTGGCGCCTGGACGATGTTGCTGATTACTTGCACCAGTTGCTGCTCTGTGTTCATTGAACGAAGTCCTCACTGGAACCGAACGTGTGCTGGATACACCACTGCCGGTGGCCTACAGTATTGCCATTGCTCAGATTTCCTGGATCTATGTCCTGGTGCTTCCATTCCAGCTCTACAATGCCCTGACATGGATCACTATTCCCGGCTCTATCGGTAAGCCCTCTCCCTCCTGTGGCATATGGGTGCAGAAACTAACTTGCACAGTCGCCGCATACATCATCCTCGGTCTCGCCACGATCGGCAGCGAAATCGAGAACCCCTTTGGCCAGGATGTCAACGATCTCCCCCTGGACACATACTGCAGACAGATCGCCGTCGAGCTCGACATCATCACCGCCATGCCGCCCCCCAAGGTGGACGACTTCACCTGCCGGGACGAAAACCTCGTTCTCTTCCCTCTCAGCACCTCTGGGTACCCCGAGTGGAGAGACCGCAGCGTCGAGGATATCCGCGCCGCGCTGCGGGCAAAGGTCCTCGCCAACACCCCGTCCTCGGGGTTCTCGAACTCGTCCACCATCTTCGGGGATGGAAGCCTGCGGTCCCGGACCGATACGAGCGTGGCCAAGGCATCCGTTTGAGATGTTGCTCCGGTTTCGGTCGAAAGTAAAGTAAAACGAAAAGTTTGATTTAAATTGAAATCTATATACCAGGGTCCATCGGTTATCGTGTTTGTACAGCGTTGGCATTGATCGTCTTTCAATCGAGCATGCGAGTTTCGGTGTTTCGTCTGAACAGAAAGGGCATTTGCAAGCTTTAGATATATCTCTCCTTTATGAAAATTAGTCATGTAGGACTCTTTTATATGCTAGCATTTTATACAATAGTCGTGAGTATTTGCACGAGCATCTGTGTTCGCGACCTAATCGACGTCCCACCCATTGTATGAATGTTCGTAAAAGGCAAAACTCATCCAGGTGCATCTGTCGTCATAGGTGTCCTGGATGTCTGGTGCTCTGGCCGTTATCACGCCTGACGCTGCCTTTGCCTCTGATCTGGTGGGCTTGCGTATGCCCTTGGCTCACCCGATCGACGGAGCATGTATATAGCACTCCGTCAACAATCCTGGTATTCTGTCTTCGCGGAGCATGTTCGCGTGGGGCACCCTGTCCGTGTAATGTCCAGGGACGCGACAGAACCTCAAATGCATAGACATTCCATCTCGTCCATCTCCGGTTTATAATTCCCTGGAAACAGAACCACCCTATGGGACAAACAAATCGCCCCCAGACCCATGTATCACCGCCCCGAGGTAATTCCCCTTCGCGCACACCCGCCACGCCACGCTCCCCCCGGTCGCCGTCGCAGATTTACTCCCCCCGCMGCCACCGATCCAGGAGCTCAGCGCAGCAACGACGGCCGCGGCATCCGAGCATGGGACGCGGATCCAGACTGTTTGCGCTTGGCTCTCCTGCGCGATTTTCAGGATGTCGAGCGGGATGGCTGTGCCTGTGAGGCCGAGGAATTGGGCGAGGGCGGCGGTGAGGTGGGTTTTTGCGGTTAGAGGGTCGAGGGGGGATTGGCTTGTTGATGTCGGTGGTTGGGTGATTCTGCGTTTTGCCCTGGGTTAGTACCTATGCGTGGGTGGAGTGGTGGGTGTAGAGCGTACAGTTGGAGTTTGAGGTAGGTCCAGGGCGGATTGCGGGAGGTGAAGGTTAGGACTTTGGCGGAGGAGGCTTTTGACGCGTCGGTTTCCTCGGGGGATTTTCGCTTGGACGGTGTCGGTCCTGTTTGGAGGTTGGAAGGGTTGTCTATTGTTGAGGTCATTGTAGTGTTTGTGATTACGCAGTATGCTGTGGGTTGTTGAGTTTGTGTTGGTAAAAAAAGTTGTTGTTGCGGATTGGCGCGATAAAGAAAATGTCCGCGGTCTTCGTGATGTCACGGAACAGCGGACTCGGACATTTGAGAAAGCTATGGGCGTATCCAACCAGAACTCTGTAATCCTTGGAGAATCAATTGTTGTTAATGACAGCCTCCTCGAGTCTCTGGCGAGCTCTTTTTAGGAATTGCTCTTCTCCGTCTTTTCCAATGTCCAGATCAGTGATACAAAGAGTCTTGTCGCGCGATTTCAGGCCGCGGATTACTTCTCCATTGGACTTGGGAACGTCGAATATCTATCATGTATTAGCCATCCGGCAATATCATGCTGTATAATAGGCGAAGTGCTCATGAGTAAGTATACCTGGGCAAAAACCCGCGATACAGCTGCGTTCGCCTCTCCGTTCCTGGGCACCGCGGCAACGCAGACATCAACTTTCTCTGCTCCCACCGCTATGATACCTTCTCGGGAGCTGGATGCGTTCGGTTTGACGTGGCATGCAATCTGTAGGCTGTATTTCTTGGGCAAAAGTTGGGTCTTATTGCCGGATTTGGTGGTTACGTTCTCGATCAGGCGGAGGAGAGGGGTGGCGCGGCTGTTCATGGGTGGACTGTAGTCAATTGAACCTGGTGTTAAATTTCGATATGCTCGAGCAATAAGGTAAAGTATTCTATCTCAGTTGTGCTTTTAATCAGGTTCCAGCTGTGGTGGTGTAGAAGAGATGCAGAGTAGACAGCGAAAAGCTTTACTGAATATCGAGTCTTGGCTCGCTTATATATACTTCTGTTCTGCGCAAAGAGGAAATGAAATACCCAGAACAGCGCAGGACTCGCAGATGACAAGGCGCGAGATTGTCTCAAAGAATTGAAGACTGGGCCTGCTGATAGTATATCGTCAAGATTGCCCTTAAGCAACAATGCCTTCTCTATCCGCAGCCACTCTGTATCTGCCCGAAGATTAGACGTTGAGCATTCGTCAAATGTACATGAATATGATGCGGTAATAAGCCGGTTAGCAATTAGATTTGCAATGACTACTATGAGTGATAAATATGATTAACATACTCGGAAGGGAGTTTAAATTTGTAGGACTGCCTGTTTACCGGATAACACCTTCGTGATAGAAGACATCGCGTAGTATCTCCCAAGTCTAGCATACCTGGGGCAGGCGATGATGCATTTGACTGACAGTCGGAGCCTTGTTGAGCCAGTTGTACTTTCTATTGCTTCAAGTACTGAATTTGAGATGAGTACAGAGAGTAGAGTACAATGGAAAGCTTAACCCGGAGCATGATCGTAGATTGATGAATTGCTTGAGACAGTATAACCCAGAAGCGAGACAGAGAGAAAAAGACGAAAATAAACGATCTGATGCAGGAAGCAAAGTGGTAGAGACCGACAAGATGTTTTGTTTACTCGCCTCTGCAATCCTCCCAAGGACGCTTTGCTCTCACCATCATCACTGGCAACGCTTTCACTCTTCCACCAGAACACCGTTTTATTCAAATAGCATCCTTAACTTATGTTTGCATTTCTTAATTGTGTACAGCTTTGGTTGGAAAGCCACTGGTCTTTGATCACAGTTTACTTTCCTCAGTAACTGCGGTTGATCGCTCTCTGTAAGTCTCGACATGTTCGAAGAGATAAACAGGACTGACCATGGGAAGGAACATATTCACAGGGGATCCATTGCTTTATCTCATTCCTTTTGGCTCTCAGAGTGCCCTACATCGTTATAACGTATTCACATCAGAACGCGAATACTCCGGGGTCCCCGGTTTCCAGAGGACGACTTACACGTAACCAATGGACATCTCCACTCGAAGGGGCCTCTTTCAGAGAGCTCTCTATCATAGCCTCGGTCTTTTCCCAGGACCAGGCTTTTACACCGGCCTAGAGTTCTATTCACATGAGGAACGAGCGAATCCCCCTACCCTCGAGGCAAGTGAATTCCTTCTTAAGCCTGCCCAAGGACGAGCTTCGACCCAGTGATGTAGCCAACATGCCATCATTAATCCGTCGTTCTTATGTTGCATAAGATGTCTAACCAGGTATCTTAATTTAGGGAGATTGGAACACTTCGGCTGTTGCTCAATCTGTTACCCATCAAATCGATCCTCTGACCCCCTTGCATACTACTGTGGGCCTCTCCCCTTATTCGAATTCCCAGGATGCGTCCGCTACTCGAGCGCAATTGACGGGTGGGCGCTCTTCAATATCTGCTTCGCAGCCTTGCCTGCATGTGGGATCGTCTTGCCCAGATTACCAAAGAGTGCCTATTTCTCAATTGATACATGAACCATCGCCTCTCTCTGCTACTCAAGATGCACCGGAACACCGGCCTCGGGTAAACTACGAGCCTTCTGTTCTGTCTGAAACTCAAGGAAGACTTGATCAGCCTGCGGTTCCTTCAAGCGCCCACTCCTCACCACTAGTGGAGCACAAATGCCTGGTCATAAACACTAACAAGAACCTGGTAAAGCCCGAGCCAGCAGCTGCAGACGACCAAACCACCCCTCATGGCGATCAAACATACTGGAGTCTGGAAAACTTGCCTGACGTCCTTTACGTTCTCAGACCCAGAACGGGCTACCGCAAATCGAGACACCGTGTCTATAAAACAACTAGTGCAATTACTGGAAAGCAGATAAATGACTTTGCCGTTCTCCCGAGCCAAATCTCCTCGAATGTCGAAGGATGGAGACTCGAGGCCTGGATGCGTTTGGACCGTCGCATCACCCAGCAGGATATCATCGACCGTGTCAATCCCAAGTACACATTGACCGCAGAGGAGATTGAGTCTCGCAGGGAAAGCTTTCGCAATACCTTCCACGTAGCTAATTGGAATGCGCAAAAGTCCGTCTGGGATATTGATCGCATGCTCAAGGCTATCGGAGTTGACACCCAGAAGAACTCCACCAGGGGACTGACGCCTGGTTTGATCGATCCATCAAAGGGTGAAGCTGGCGGACGCATCCCGATACCAGGAGAAAACATCATTCCTATGAAGCAGGGAAGGATGAATCTAGAAACCGCTTCCAGGAGCTTCGATGGGATGTGCGATGGTCGCCGTCCTGGCCCACTTCATGCTTCGCAGGCAGATTTAAGAATGGAATTGAGCAGGTATGTATTTTGGCCTGCTTACTTCAATCTACAGCGTTGCTAACGTTTGGCGTTAGCCACGAGATCGAAGCTGACCTGAGGTTATCGCAGCAAGATTTCGCAATTAATCCGTAAAATTCCTTCTGTGCCCTAAATCGAGTTCTATACTAACTCCCTCTTCTACCAGCAACGCGAGAGCAACTGCATCGCTGCAAATTAAAACAGTTGACTCCACTCATGCGGATTTCGAATACCCAGATGTAGATGGCTTGACACATTGCATCGAGCCTCCCAGCCAACGCATCCACGATGAAGACGATACTGTTGGCCGCACAATGACTTTGCAGAAATTTCTGAAGAAGAACCACATGTCGTACGAGGATTGGCTTCTCTGCGATTACGAAGCTGTTGACAGAGATACCTTGAAGCGTGGACGCACTGAGGATTTGAAGTCTCAGGGCCCTGCAAACATAATCGCCAGCTCGAAGCGCAGACGTGTTGAGGATATGAGTGTCGATGAGTCGGCAGCTGGCGACGGCACTAGCACAAAGCGTAGGAGTATAGAAAGATCGAACATTGGCAAGTCCGCCAAAAGATCCAGCGATGACTTTTGGGCTACTGTCTTGAAAGGCTGAATGCTTACTGACGACCGGAAACTGCACACCAGGAGCTGGCGTTATGGTTGGGTAAAGCTGCCTGTTTTTCCAATTCTTTACTATTTCCTTTCCATGTAGCGAGTACTTGGGTCTTCGAGATTTTACAGGGATATGGTTTGCGCTGGGAAATCTCAGTTTGCTTTGATATCAGTTTTCATGGACATAGTGACGGAGGCAGGATGCACACTGTACAATTTCATTTCACAAAAATAGGAATGCATGTCACATTGCTTTTCCATTCACCTCATTCCAGCACTGTCTCTACGTATCCACCCTCATATTGGCCTCTTTACACTTCGTACACGACTTTCCTTCCCACTAAGTGTTCTCCCACCTACAGCAATCATCTTCTCTGACTCGTACTTAAAACACACCTCAGCTCTGTCCTCAAAATCAATCCTTAGAACGAGGCTAGCAGCTATAAATGGAAGTTCCTACCCCAATGACATTCTACCTTCTCCCTCTCCCTCAAGCCCCTCACCAGCCCACCAGCCTGATGAGCCTCCTTTTAGAAAAACACAGAAGTACAACAAAAGACCCTATTCAGCCCCAATATACTCAAGTACAATAAATCCTCACCGAGTGAGCGATTTTCAGCTCGGGCCCACCCTATCCACTCGCTTCCTGCCCTGCCGGGGAAAGGGAGGCCATTCAGCAGCGAGCAGCAGTCAATATAATTGTTCGCAGCTTACAATACGTGCAGCAGACCAGACAATAGACTCCACGCAACATCTGCCATCTAGCCACGCGATCTATTTCCGGCTACCCTGTTCCGGCTTCGCTCAGCAGAACCAATGAGAATTTTTCAGTTGCATTGTTCTGAAAAAAGAAGCTTTCCAGCCTCCTTGTGGTGTACCTGCAGCGCTGGGCGAACTGGCGCTGAGTGGGTCTGCAGCTGTCAGTGACGATATGACAGCGGATATGCATGTCGAGAGGCTTCGTCCGGGGAGTGCGGCGGACAACCCAGGAATGATAGTAACATGGGCAAGCTGCGTATCATTTTGAAGAGCATAAATTCTACGTTTCAGAAAGACAGCTTCCGACAGATCATATTAAGGTGTGTTTGTGAGTCTGGGGCTTTCAGGGGCTCGCTAAGGAGGCGAGGGAGACAAAGACCAGGAGAGGCATGTCGAGTGAATATTCGCTCACCCCGTTTCATCACCATCGCACAACCAAACTTCCCCCGATTCAGTCGGCTATACCAACCTCCACATTATTGAGAAATCGAAAAGAATGAAGAGCTCTCAAAACTCAATATGGCGAAGTCCAATTCGTCTTCGTCTTTATATTCTCCTGATCTGTCTCCTTCGGGATTTTTCTTCCTCGAAACACTTTTCCACTTCATATTCGCAAGTACCGGCTTGCTCCCACAGATCGCCGCAACGACCAGCATTCAGCAACAAGTTACAGGACAGCATCAGGTGTGTGGTGATGAGTGTTCTTTGAGTTGTGTGCGCAAGTGTTGCCCAGCAATGCCTGGGTTCAGCACTGTTCTTTTGCATGGCTGACATCGGTTTGCAGCCTCAACAATGGGCAAAATCGAGAGAAAGAGTCCCAAGGGCTCCAAGAGCTCTGAAAAGCCTCAAGGCMACAAAAGTGAGTCGACTTCTCCATGTCACTTTGGAAATCGATCCTAACACGGCAGCAGAAAAAACTCCGAGGCAGGGCAGCACCGAAGCCGTCGACCCGCGGAACTTTACAAGCTTCCGTGAGGACCAGAAGGATTGGTCCTGGGACAATCTCCCAGCCATCCTCTATCAGTTCAAGCCCACAAAGGAGGATGAGAAGAAAGAGCGAGAGCCTCCCAAGATGAAAGTCCTGGGCGGCAAATGGGTCAGAGACATCGGGATCCTTCCGGATCACATTTCCTCTGACGTCGAGGAGTTCAGAGTCGAGGCATGGATGCGACTCGACAGGCGCATCCACTTACAAGACATTATTGATAGGATGCACAAGGATTTTGCAATTGAACGTAACGCCCTTCAGCAGCGGAATGTCAGATTTCGGAAAGCTTTCCACCTGATTGCCTGGAGTTCAGGCAACAAGATCAGTTGTCAGCTTGAGCAAGATGTTCTCGAAAAAATGAGTGAGCAAAACATCGACCCCACCCTCAATTCGACCCGTGGGTTGACTCCGGGCCTTATCAACCCTGAGCTTGGAGAAGCGGGTGGTCGCATCGCTCTTCCTGACAATTATGGACCTGACAGACGTGGCCATCGTGGACCACGCACGCCAAAGAAGAAAAGGACTGCGGCAAAGACTGAAGAGGACGTCGATATGAGCGATGCTCTTGACCCCATCACTCCTGTTAGAGAATATGTGCCTCTGACTCCCCCGTCAATACCACCTCCCTTCATCAAGACTGACTCTTCGTTCGGTCAACGTGCAGCTTCTGGGGAGTCGATGACTACCATTTTCAGTCCTTCTTCTCCTGTTCCAAACTCCTCTGTTCCCCTTTCGCCTATCCTCAGTTCTCCTCTTCTTTCTCCTGTCCTCTCTCCCGTCCCTTCTCCTGTCCCCGGTTCTCCGGTTCTTACTTTTACTGTTCCCGAAGAGGACCACCTCGACTCTCCTCTGGAGGAAACCCTCTATGATGGAGACCTGTGCCCTTGCAACTTCGACTTTTTGTTCAAGGAAGAATCGCGTCAAGGACTCGACTGGCCGCGCCGTTGCGAAGAGGAGCTCTCTGGCCTGAAAGTCTTGAAAATGCGCCACCGGCTTCAAATGAAGCGCCAGCACAAGGCCTTCAAGAAGACGCTACCTTTCTGCAACACCGATTCCCTGTACGCCAAATTTGCCAGCAAGTTCCACCTCGACGACATGATCAACGTTGTCCCAATTTCTCGCACGACTGCGCCGCCATCGCCGGATCCACTATTTCCATCACTCACCTACGAGCCTATGACGTTGCGGCTGATTTGTCGCCCACGTCCTACTGACGAGGGTGCGTTGAAATGGGTATACGACGTTGCACTCAACGAGTATTACGCCGGGCAGCGATTCCTCTTTGAAATGCCTTATGTGGAGGGCGTCATGTGAGGCTAGCTCTGCCTTTCAATCTCTGCGCTTCCTGTTTTTACTTTCCCTTGTTAGTGAGCGCCTGGTGTGCCTTTGTCAATTTGTCTTTCTGTCTGTTCTTTTTTTGTCTGGTGGCCTTTCGTTTCTACAGATACCCCTTACGCGGAGGAAGTCCTCAATTTCCTGGGGAGGAGCGGAGTTGGCCTTGGAGTCTTCGGGATTGCGGCGTCTATTGTGATCGTTTGAGCTCTGTGTCTTTCTTTGCTTTCTGCTTTTCAACAGCTGGTATGCTGTCCACTGGGCCTCTGGACCGGAAGTGGTGTTGTTCGGATAAGGTTGATTGCCAAGGCGGCGTTCCGCCGATAGCGTGACTGCCACGAGTTTATGATATGCAGGGCTGCACTTTCCTCTTTGGGCAGAGTGAGCCAGCCAGCGAAATCAATTTGTTTCTTCAATCCTTTAACTCCTCAATGCTGTAGAGTCATCGATGCAATATCGCCGGCGTTAGCTCGTTTGGCTCACGGCATGATATATTTTATAATGCCTTTCGCGTATACTTCCAGACTTGAAACCTAACATGACCCAGTAAATAGTCAAGGATACCAGACAGAAGTACGCGCTCGTAAACCGAGTGATCATAATTAAACCTCCAGTAATTTCTAACATCTTATATAGAAGTCTGTTATTTATGTCAAACGTAAGAATCAGCTGCTTACATATCAAAAGAACAGTTTCATCAGAGACCTTCCCCTCCAGTATAAGCCACACAGACCGGTAATGTAGTTGCACCGGTTCTATAGCATTAAATTCTGGGCATAATTTGTCATCACTAATTGGATTCCTATAAGCTTGTATAATTATTCAGCTTAACGTCGACATCTATGTCTGTCCTTCATTTAAATTGAGAATCACTATTACATTGATCTAGAAAAATATCCGAGTCTGTAGATGTATGTCACTCTCAGAGTAATATACCTGCTCTATATGTCAATCTCAGATTTGCTTAAGCAAGGATCCCCTAGCCCCAAGCTATTCACAATGTGACTTCTGGTGTTGTATTCACAAAGCTGCAACACTCATGTATAAATGTGAGAGTTTACTGCTTTTTCCTTCTGTATAACAATTCTTACTCTCTACTCTTCATCTTCAGTAACATATTTCAAGAATATCACATTTATGCCTATTTCCATAATATGTTCTCTCCACCTATTGATGCTCCTGGTATGTCGCCTCCTACTGCATTCCAATATCACAGAAACTAATATGCTACGTCCCAGCTATGCAGCAGTTGACATGCCATCGTCAGTATTACATGTTCATCGTCAAACAATGCCATACTAACACACCTCCAGATGACGCCCCTCCTGACCGATACCACACCTGCGTCAACTCCCACCACGCAGCCTACTCGGAGAACAATCTACCACCTGTTCTCTTCCGCCTGGAGGCACCAGAGTTCAATGATCTTCCCCCGCTGAGAAACCTCGTCGAGAACGGCCAAGTCGTCAAGGACCACGACGGCCGCCCCCTGCGCGCCTTTCCCTTCCTGCCAAGGTACATCTCCGTCCGCCCTGCAGCCTGGCTCCTCGAATACTGGATGCGGACAGACCCACGCCTCACATACCGCGATATAAAGGCGCGGATGGTCGTCCCTGTAGCCCAGCGGCCGCGCGAGAACAGCCTCAACATGCGCCGAGAACGCCAGTGCAGGAGTCCACTGGCGCTATCCTGCTGGACGAGCCACTGCCGCACCGTGGGGAAAGTGGAGGTCGAGCGTGTTGCGCGCTGGTCGCTGGACTAGATCAGGTATAACACGACCATGGAGATCGAGTACAGGAAGAGCCCGGGCCCGAGCCCAGGCGACCAGCGTACTKCGGTGCGGCTGCGCTCCAGGACTCTGGCTGGCGGTGCGGCGGCCTACTACCCTCTGGATTTGTTTCTAAATGGTGAGGAGGCTCATGTCCCTAGTCAGCGGATCCGCGAGGCGTTGAGTCTCTTCTGGCAGTTGTCGGAGAGGGCTTCTCGGCTCCGGCTCGGGAGTTGGAGGCTGCTTCCCGCTGAGGAGCTCCCTGGCGCGTGGCGGCGTGGGATGCAGCGCGGAAATATGGGCGAAGAGGGGGATGTGGAGGCTGGTTCTGGGCTGTCTGACACGGTCTAGCTGTAAGGTGGGCCAGTCATCCAGGTGGGTGTTGCTATCATAGAGGTGGAGTGTGGCTTGTATATTAATTTGGTTGGAAGAAGATTAAGTTGAAGAAGATTGATCTGTCATTCACGTCTTTGGCAAAGTGATGAAGAAATTGGAATAGAAAAACCAACCACCTGGTTCATGCAAAAGGATTATAGTATTCGAAGATAGGTATCTATCAGTAACAAAGGACTTGTGAAGGAACTTTAGAAAAGAAGAATGCTATCTAAACTGGAGAATCCAGTGGCCACTCCCCCCTCATTAACATCTTTCGCTTTGGTCCTCATCAACCACCCGCCTTGCTCGTTCTGCAGGACATTTCCATTGGATTGATCCCAGAGAATGGTGCCATAGATACCTAACTCCCCAATGACCGTGCCACTGAGAACCTCGCCATCACTTCTCAAAGCCACATTCTTGGCCTCAGCTGGCGGACGGATCAGTTCCATCAGGATCCATCGCTTCCATTCACTTTCTGGAATAGACCGTAAGAAGTCGGGAATGGCAGACTTATAAACGTTGTTGCCGCCTCCTTCCCGCTGCGGTTTGAGGACGTGGTTGAGAGCTGTTTCGGGATTCAGAGCCAATTCACGACCGCGCCCGTTTGAAGAAAGGTCGTACTGAGGCGCAAACGTTTCCCGCAAGCGGGCGATAGTGGCCGGGTCGGCATCTGCCATGAAGTTCGCAAGGTGGTCGGGCCCTGCAGTCTCTGCCAGCACTTGTTGTATAATCTTAGACCCTGCCAACTGGTTCAGAACAGTAGGGCATTTGATCGCTGCAGAACGCTCCAACTGTGTCCGCGCCTCCCAGTCACGCTCGGAGGTGTAATCAGTCGGGGCATAGAAGCAGCGGAGATACACAGTTGTCACTTCAAACTGCGTGTCTGGTGAATGAGGGGGACGATAGATGAGAGGCCGAGAGGCGTTTGAGCCGGCAATCGATGTGTGATCCAAAATCTCGGTACTGACTAGTCGGAAAACGGGAATCTTATGGACGGTAGTAAGCTGTCTGGAGAGTGCTAGCTGGTCAAATATGTTCCGTTCGTTCTCCTGTACCACGAACAGAATACACGTGGGAAGAGCCGGGGTCGATTTCGAAGGCCCGTAAGCAGAATGCGCTGCAGCCAGACCGGCTGACAAGGTTTCCACAGCGGTATTCTCGGGAGGTACGCTCGACTCAAACAGTGGGTGGGAAGGATAAGAGATGGGATAGCCTGGCGGGGAGGTAAGAAGCTCTGAATGGAGCTTTCGCACCAGAGAAGACAGGCCGCCGAAGGACGACGAGATAGTGTTAAACTCCACTTGCTTCAAAGACGGGGCATTCGCGTTTGTCGGAGCGTGCGCCATGTAATCGGATCGATATAAACCAAGCGACAAATTCTGAACATATCCCTCCTCCTTGACTGAAAGGTGAACTTTCCACAGACGGGAGATGAAGTCGTCAACGTCAATCAGACTACAGGTCAAACAGTTTTTAGTGCAGAACTTTCCACAGATGCTGTACTCCGAAAGAAGCATTGCATTGAATCTAGGCCACAGAAAGCATCAGAGTCTTACTCTTCCATAATCTTGCCCAGCCATTCCTCATTACATGTGATTGCGGCATAAAGCTTGTTGTACACAGTCTGCAATGCCTTGGCTTCTTCGAAGCATGCCCTTGGAAAGAGACTCGGAAACAACGTTACTGGAGCGTTCGTTGCCAGTACGCCATACGGATCAGACTCCTTTGAAATGAACGTAGGAGGAGGTCGGACCATCAAGCCATTCTGCGTAGCCCAATCCTTGATAGTCTTCACCAGGAAGTCCTTCTGTGCGGGGTTCAGTTCCGGAGGATAGTTAGTATAGATCGAGTCACTCATTATGAAAAGCGTTGTATATCCTGCAATGTGGAATCTCAGCACTCAAAGAAGCCCAGAAAAGCAGTTCGAAATCAATTGACGACTGTTCAGGTGCGAATAAATTCACATTTCCCGCAGGAACAGGCCATTATTAATACTGTCGATGAGGGGCCGTCGGCGATTAATCATCGGAGCTTTGGTGGGACTACGCCGTGTACCGCCTGTTGTCCCGCCTTGCATACCGGCAGAAAAAGAGCTCTATCGCGATAACCGACCGCCGATCGCCTTTTTCGGCAGTATCAGTTTGGCGCGTCTCGTTCCATCAGCGCGATCAGTTCATCTCAAAAATCAGAAAAGTCAGCTGGAACTGTGATTTCATACGTTTAGAAGCTAGGTTTTTAGTGAATGCGAGATCTGCGAGATCGCGAGTCTCTTGTCGCTCTCCTGCCCAATTCTTTTTCACTTTCTTAATCGTCCATCGCTTCTCTCAGATCTCGTCTCTCCTGTGACCAAATGGTGCCTTATCACTCAAGAGAAATCTCAATTTCAGTGATAAGTGATAAGCTGGACCTGCTGATGGGATTACTGTAAGATACTCCTGGCTTCAGCTTACTACGTTGAGATTCCATTAACAAAATTAGTCCCACCAGGCGGAATGGAAACTGATGATGGAGATCCCCTCGACTGGACAGTTGACGAGGTAGTAGCCTTCCTTTGCCATAATCCCGAGACGCCATGGTCCCAGTCTGCGTCGCAGGCCCCTCGGCCAAACCCTGTCCAATTCGAAGCCGCTCTTCGAGAGAATTTGATAACCGGGGAGGTGCTGTTGCATGATGTCGACAAGGAGACTCTACGGGAAGAGCTTGGACTCAAAGCTATTGGTCATCGTAGCTCTATGCTTATGGCAATACGCTATCTTCAGCGACGTTCTCAAAAATACCAGCGTTCTAGGGTGGAGCTCGCTTCTCAACTCGATGATCATCGGTATTCAGTTACCCCAAGTCACTTGACAGCCGTTATTCCAGGCCCTTTTGAAGAATTCTCGTCGCCGATTCATCAGAGCTCTGTGCCGCCAACAGCAACCCCTCAGAATCTGATGCAGCGCCCTCGTTGGATGACCCCCTCAGCATCTACAGTATCTCACACTAAAAGGAGCTTTCCCCTGGATGCTGCGACTTCCAGTGGTCTGAGGGGCGACGAGTCTACTAGAACGACCGCTACTGCAAAAGGTAATGAAAGTGCAACCACTACCAGCGGGAGGCCTCCAAGCGTCCCTCCGCCTGCCGTTAGTCGCCAGCCTGCGGAACAACGTATAGACCAATCCAACCCTGGCGAACGCGTACGTGCTTATGAACACATCGTAGTTGATGCTGAAGGAAAGAAGCGACGCAGACTGGATTTGAGCTCTCTGCCCGAGCCACAAAAGAACCCTCGTGTGTCGAAGTCTTCGAACATTCCGCGAGACAAGGACTGGTACATTGGACCAGATCGGATTCTGCCTTCGCAATTATTCTATCCATCTACCTCTGGTGAGGAAGATCATTCGTTCGTAATGCTTGGTCCTGCACACTTGCCCACCGCTCAGCGCCACTTCGTGAGAAAGTGCATGAACTATTTCTTCAGACAGCAGCCCATTCAGCTGAGCTCTGATACTGAAAGTAGTCAGATGGCTCTGATCCCATATGACCACTCAAAAGTCAGTGAGCACGACGAGAAATTCTTCACTTTGTACACTGCCACGAATAGAACTGTGTCAGTTACACAAGAGGACATAAAGAAATGGCCCCAGTTAGAACAAGCAGGGGCTGGCGGCTCCCGGCTGTCGCAAACACTGGAACCATCCGACCCTTATTCATATCTCCTTCAGAAATACCMTGCCGGGGAAGACAACCAAGACGTCTGCCCGTTATACGGTGACTCGGGCTCAGAAGGAGAGTTTGATGAAGAAACTTGGCAGGAGATTGCTAATGAACGCGATGATATTGCTCAAAGTAAACCGGCAAAGCTGACTCCCGCTGAAGTTGACTCAGTAATCGAAGATTGTATGGCTGAGTTTGTGAATCGGTGGCGCCAGAATGGCTTACCGAAGGAGGAATATAAGGCCCGGAAGCTTTGGGTCACAGCTCGACGGGCGAAATGTACTTACCAAAAAGTCAAGGCCATTAATCGCGACGTCACCTTGCTGGAGAAACGACTAGGCAAAGTGCTCGAAGCAATACGCGGATGTGAATATGCCTCGAAATCGGAGTTACAAACACAGTGTCAAAGCATGGAGCAGACTGTTATCGACATACAGAAGCAAAAGTGGCGTATCTCGGTCTTAGAGGCAGAGGAGTGTCCGCCAAAGGTTGCTTCTGCACCCAAATCAAAGCCATTGCCAAAACCGGAGACTAGGGCCGCGGACGAGGAGTCTCTTCACTCAGAATCCGGCACCTCGTCTGACTTCCAGGATGACTTTATCGACGACTCCGAGGTTCACGGACGGGTCTCGCCTATTGAAAACTTTGGAAACGAGGACAGCGTCAGCAGAAAGCGAACGACACCGGCGTCGACGCCCTCAACGTCCGAAAGCGATGATGACATTATCAGTCCTTCGGGAATCAGACGTAAATCAAGGGCCAAGAGGTCGCCTTTCATGGCAACCAGCTCACCCTCTCCTGACCCTTCCGGTAATGCGCAACGGGCAGACATTATTGACCTCACAATGGACTCTCCTCCTGCTTCAGCAGACGAATTCAGAATCGAAACACCGCCACTCAATCCGGTGCGACCACCCAGGTGGACAGAATCGGATGACGTTAGCTTGAAGATCGAACGAAGTCCTTCGATATCTCCTCCTCCCCGACTCAGCTCCAATGTAGTTGTCGAGATTCCGAAGCGACCAGAAATCATCAACCGGAAACCTGAAGGGTCGAAGTCGACGCGCAAGTTCAACACACCAGATCTGCCTGACCACAATGATTTCGATGGTCTGCTGTCGTACCCTTGGGAAGTTCTCGAGGAACGCCACGATCGCCGTAGATTGCTTGCAAAGTTAATTGCGGCCATGCCTGACAGCGAGCGTGAAGAGATGGCTTCATCGATACCTGAATACGAATATGGTGAATTGAAGGAACTTGTCGGACAGGGTCTTGGA